AGGACCAGGAAACCGGACCGGCCGGTCGGACCGGAAAAACCGGAAACCGGAGGTGAAACGGCACAATAGGGGCTGTGTACCCTTCAAAATCCTGTCGGGCGGTATTTGCGGTTGGACCAAAATGGGCCGAAATTTCGGCCGGCTTTATTCCCCTTCATTTTACTAAAACGGCGTCGTTTTGACGCAAAGTTAAAAATAAAATAAAAACGGAGGGAAAGTAGAGGAGTCGAAACCTACCTTCGGCCTTCTCTGATTCTCTCTGCCTCTCGTATCCCTCCTCTCCCCGCGCCACTCTGCCTGTCGTCTCCCCGCGCCGCGACGCTCTGCCTCTCGAACTCCCGGCGACAGCGTCCTCCCCAGCAAGGCAGCAACCAAACACAGCCGGCGACTCGTCCTCCCCACTCCCCAGCAACCGAAGACGATGATGAGGACGATCCCGTCTCCCCCAAATCCGATCCAATGCTGATTTGAGTGGACGACGCCCGCTCGCACTGTCGGGGGAGTGAACCAAGACGGCGAACCTCAGGAGCGGCGCGTCAGTGGAGAAAGAGGTGCTTGTTCAATCACCTCCCTCACCGGCACCATGAATTCACGGCCTGCCGACTCCGTCGTTCTTCTTCTTCCCATAAATAAGTCACCATCGGAGTCGATTCAATCGATTAATTGATCTATTTTTAGATTGGAGTAAATGAATAAGCATCTCCGCCTGCATGGAGAATTGGAGTGAAAATCTGGGAATGAAATTGTGGGGACAACAGAGGGAACTGCTTCTGTGTTGGGGAAGAAAGAGAAAGAGGAGTTAGGTGACTCTGCTAGCGGAGTAGTGGGTGTCGGGGGAAGAAATAAAAAAAAGAAAATATAAATAAATATATTAAACACAAATGAATAAAATAATAAATAGTTTACTCATAAAAGGAATACTAATCAGTTCTTAACATATTTCCTTACCACGAAAATTTTTCTTTCTCAACGCTAAAGGAGATAATTTTAATAAAAATCTATTTATAAATTTGAATTTTGTATTAAAATTTTAATAAAAATAATATAATAATAACGCTCCACCCACGCTTCAAATATTGAATTCTTTGTACATCGATGCTTTCACGCTCTCGCTCTCGCTCCCGCTCCACGAACTGGTTACCTAATTCATGGGTTAGTAAACAGAAGTACAGAACTCAATTGATGAAATGAATGAAGATCCGTAGTACGTACAAAATTTGTGAGTGTTTACTAAAATTATGTTTATTGGTTTTATTGTGACATCAATGGCTAGCGGTATAATCCGGTTTTATTCCAGTATTTTCCCGTTATGGTACCCTAATTTTGTCGGTACGGTTTATTAACAAAAAAATAATTTTTTTATTCCAAAAACGGTACTTACTGGTAAGAAACGGTTGAACCATGGTTGTACCACGATTTACCATGCCAAAAATGATTCCGGTTTGATGTCCGGTACGGTTTCGTAATCCTTGGTAATTTCACGGGAATAACCATTACTTTGACTTTGGGCAGTTGTATCAGCATTCTTAGTAAGTATGTCATTCTGAATATCATCTGCATGAGATAAAGAGAGTTCTTCTGATCCTGCATACCAAATTCACTTATTACTTCACTTTAAAACAATAACGTAATCCTAATATATTGTGTAGAGATGCATACCTTCCATTCAGGTTGCACTGTGTTCACTTTATCGCCTAGCCTCTCTATTTCAAACAAACCTTCAAGGATAAACACTACCCTTACCACCTGTCAAAGATTACAAAAACATCATATGAACCGTCATTGCCAAGCTTACAAATTTAACTAAATGCCTATATGCATATCGGCATATAATGTTCTACGAGAAGTCCATATATATTGCAAAGACATTATGCCTCAATCCAATATGCATATCATGTTCTACAAGAAGTTCATATATATTGCAAAGACATTATGCCTAGGAATCCAACTGAAAGTAGCTATACCTTACCTTACAAGAGTAGGAATCCAACTGAAATTACCGAGGTTGCAAAGATATTCTCGTGGCAGAGGTTAGTCCTGGCCGACAGATGAGCGGGTGAGGGAAGTTTTGATACAAAACAGAGAGGACTGACTATGCAGGGGTCAGGTTCGCCGCATTTGACACGTAAGATTGACCCTATAGATGGGATCGACGACGAGGGCAGGAATGATTTGGGAGCGACCGCCGGTGAAGGAGGCTTCTCTCCCCTTCTCCGACCTGGACTAGTCTTGTATTTGGCGGAGGCAATTTTCGTTGGTGACAGAGGCCCGAGAAGATACAGACTTTTTCTCACCTCTGAACCAGTAACCGGCGTGATTTTGGAGATGGTATCGGCCAGTAACAAGTAACCGAGGTGATTTTGAAGAACGCCGGCAAAGGAGATCGAGTAACTCCCTTTTGGTTCGTCCCTCGGCGTCGTCCCCTGTTTTTTAGTTTTTTCAATCTTGGAAACCCAAACGAATTGGATTACTGGACGAGGAATACGACTGATGAATTTGGTGGAGGGTGTGAAGTTTGGATGAGCGACGGTGGAGCTCAGCAGGGCAGTTCTCTCTTTTCTGATTCTGACGAGCGAGGGAACGAGGAAGGCGGCAACGATTCGTGTTTCCTTCATTTTTTTTTCACAATAAAACTAAATGCATATAAAATTTAAATCAATTTAAAATTAATTACTGAAAAAGGAGATAGAAAACAGCTTTTGGAAATTCCGTATGGCTAGCGCTTTCGGTTTGGACAATTCCGAATTCAATTGGTTTATGGGCTCAAAATAATGAAACCAGCCCATACCACGTCAGTTCCACGTGGACCAATAAAAAACGGCGTCACCGGTGCCGCACTTTTTAGCGTGGCACTGTAGTATCGGCCGTTTCTCATACCTCATAGTAGTGTTGTCATTTCGGTTGCCGGTTAGCGGCTAACCGGCCGGTCTAACCGTTAACCGCCGGTTAGCGGCTAACCGGAAACCAAAAAAATATAGAGGCGGTCGGTTGGCGGAAGGGGTCAGTGGCCAAGCGGTTAGCCGATAAAATGAAGCCGGTTTGCCTACTCTTAAACACACCCATTCGGTCATTCCCCCCCAACCCTAGCTGGCCTTCGTCTCCCTCAACCTCACACACTCTCTGTGAGACTGCGACTGCGTCTCTGCCGCCGCCTCGCCTCGAGCCCCCGACGACCTCCTCCTCCAGCGGAAGCAACCTCAAACCCTCCTCCTTCGGAATCGTTTTCCTCTCCCCCACCGCCAGCGCAGGAGACTGCGTCTCCGCCGCCGCCTCTGCAGCCGCTGCCCATTTCTCCGCCTCCGCCTAATGCTCCGGCTATCACGGGAGCTCCGCAGCCATCTTCGTTGAATCCGCCTCGCCTCGAGCCCCCGACGACCTCCTCCTCCGCCGGAAGCAACCTCAAACCCTCGTCCTTCGGAATCATCTTCCTCTCCCCCACCGCCAGCGCAGGAGACTACGTCTCCGCCGCCACCTCTGCAGCCGCTGCCCATTTCTCCGCCGCCGCCTAATGCTCCGGCTGTCACGGGAGCTCCGCCGCCATCTTCGTTGAATCCGCCAAGTGGGATGGTCTTAGTAGCTCCGGGTCCTGTGCATGCTTAATCGAATCCATTGATTCGCCATTGTTTTTCAGTTCCCCCGATTTCTTCTTGTTCACTAGATGGTAAATTGAATTCCTTGGATTGGAATTTCAGATTTGTATAGCCAATTGAGATGTGGGTTGAATGAGATCGTTGGTGCTGACTTACTCCTCGGCGGAGAGAAGGGAAGGAGAGGTGTAGTAATTGGTAGAAGGGCAAGAAGAAGAAGGGTGTTGAATGGTGAGGGTTTTGGTATGTGAATCGATGGACGAGATCCGCAACAGTAGCTATTCCAGGCTTGCACCTAAACCGGCCTTCACATTTTCGGTTGCCCCGGTTAAACTGCACCTAAACCAAAAACTGGCAGGTCGGTTTGCGGCTAACCGGGGCTAATGGGATGGTCGCTCGACGATAGCGGTTGGTCATGTCTCGGTTTAATCGAAAACCGAGATTTTGGTTTTCGGTTAAACCGAAACCGACCGGCTGCCACCCCTACCTCATAGTGTGCCCATTTCTTTAACCAACAAGGTTAAATCAAATTCGGTCCAATTTTATTTTGGGTGGCCAAGTCTCCCGAACGTTAGAACAATGCTGTCAAAGCCGAGCCGGAGTATGACCCGGTAACGTGAACGGCTCGGTTATTAGTGGTCCAGCCGGCATTAGACCATTTAAAAACCGTTTGAGAACCGGTACATTATAAACAATATAATATCATAGTAGAACACACATAAAGTAATAATTCAATGAATTAATGAGTAAAAATGATAATTACAGGTACCATTTAATAATTCTACACAACATATATATACAGCAACTAAAAAAAACCCTAACCTAATCCTAAGAGACAGCGCCGCTTCCCCACCCATCACTCTCCTTCCTTCCGCTTCCCCATCCCCCCTCCCTCTCTCCTTCCTCCTCTCCCACCGCCGCACCTATTTTCATTTTTCAGCCACTATGCCTTCTGCAATTCCTCAAAAATCCATCACCACATTCAATTCTTCCTCATCCTTTCTTAACCCGTAAATGCTCTTCCTCATCCCAATCCGCGAAATGGCTCGGATTCAATCCAAGCCTCTGGTGAGAGAGGGCAGCTTAGCGGGGAGCTGCTTGCGACGGTGGCGACGGAAGCGCCGGGAGCGGGGAGCTGCTTGCTACAACAAGGACTGGCGATGGCGACTGGGGATGGCGATGCCGTCAGGAAGCGCCGATGCCGGGACAAGAGGTGTTGACGGCCGATTCCACGATTGGCCTATTCTAATTTTTTTTTTAGGGTAAACCAAATGGCCGAACCGCGCGACCGGCTTGAGCGGTTAATCGCTTCGGCCACTCGCCGGCCGCTGTATAAAACCGTGGCGGTTAAATAGCTGATCCGATCCGATTTTACGATCGGGTGGCGGTTCGGTTCGGTTTTGACAGCACTGGAAAAAAGCCCACTACTCAATCTGCGTAGCTCAAACCCAAACTTGTCGTCCAGTTTTTCTTGTTCACGAAGTCGGTCGTCATTCACCCAGCACCAGGACCGCCGAGCACCGGAAACGCGCTTAGAAACCCAGAGACCGCGAAGCCATCGACCAACTCGATCTCTGCTCACTAACTTACTGGAAGACGACCGATGGAATTCATAACCGAACCTGGCAAACAGCCTCATCCAGATTGCTCCACCATGATTCTGGTAACCTATACTCCGTCTTCTCCATTTCTCATATTGTGCTGAATCAATCAGAGTTGCCTACATTCACCTTCAATTCGCTCTGGAATCCCTGTTTGGATGCCGAGAAAATCCAATGATTAGCTTATGATACCTCTCGCCGCTTTTATTTTTTTCGGATTTATATTCACTTTGAATCACATTTTTTAGAAGCTAGGTTGTTTCTAAGCGTGAACCATTCCGAGGAACGAACTGCCATTTTAGGTTTCCCTGATCAGTTTATGTGTTTTTTTGGTTTCGGGGTGATAGCCGGCATTGTCAATTGGGAACGTAGGACAGTTAGCAGTGGATCTACTGGTGTCGTCTACAGGAGCTGAGAGAATTGGGTATTTGGATGATCCCTACACCCTTCCTTGTGTTGGTAATGATGCTTATGGCCCCATTCCTTCCGGGGACCTAGCTCTCCCTCTCGAAGGTGCTCGATCATCATGCTCCGCTTTTCTCGTGTCATCTCATCGGTGGCCTGCTATGTTAATTGATCGAAGCAGTGAATGAATGAGAAGCTTCTTTTTCCTTTTATTTCTGCAGCTTATCAATCACCTGCCAATGCAATGACTCTTGTGCAGCAGCGATCCCCGGTTATTAAGGTGTGGTTTATGAATTAGGATACATTCTCTGTTAATTTTTTTTGGAGTCTCTATGAGATTCCTATGGTGTGGTGTTGTCCTCCTGAAAGTTGGAAGTGGTAACAGGGGATGATGGTTGAATACGCCAAGAACATGGCTGAGTTTGCTGCTGCCAGTGGGAAGAAGCATGTTGTTATTCTTTCTAGCTTAGAATTTGCAAGATGGCAAAGGATCGATATGTCAAGGTATGTTCTAGGCCTTACTCTTCTTTTCGTCACTAGATTCTTTGGATCAAGTAAGACCACATGACAGAGAGGCTGAGCGATATCCTTTAACCTGCTCACTTTGGTTAGAATTTTGCAAACTAGTATTCATTCTAAAGGTTCAGCTATTTCTTGGTAAAACAAAGTATAGCATGGAATTCCTTCTAGTAGATGGTAGATTACTCAGCAGTGGGAGCTGGTGATATTGTCATTCCTGCACATGTTAAGGTAAAAAAACTTTTGTTTGTTTTTCTTCTGAAGTTTGTTCATTTATCAGTGGGTTGCAGATATACTACCTCTCTAGCTCAAACACAGATGGAACAGATGATTCTTGTGCACAACTCGGGTGGCGAAGGCTGCAGGATTATGATCCTACACAGAGATCTTGGAATTACCTCAGCAGCTTGGCTCAAGGCAGCACCATGCAGGAAAGCACCTTGCCTTTTGAAGATGAACCAGAAGAAGAAGATTATTGCGCAAGTCTACCTTTCGCTGCTCTGTTTTCCTGTTTGAAGGTATTTACTCTTGGTCGCATGTTTAGACAGATGGCCTCCTATTGAGTATTGAGTGTCATGTAGGATTTTAACTAGCTCTGTAGTACTGGTCCATAATGGGTTCAACTCAGTGACAGATTATCTGCTTTTCCCCTCCCATCAGGCAAAAGGTTTGAAAGTCACATGCATATTATGTTATTGTTCTGAGGGAGACAACATGGCCGATTCTTTCGAGTTAGCCGAGGCAGCATCCAAGCTGCTGCAACTAAAACCTGATAATTTCATAGGTAAGTGAATAATGGTTATCACCATTACTACATCCACGGCCTGAATTCTGGTCTTACCTTAATCTGGTCAGCTCATAATCCTTGAGGATGTTAATTTGCGGTCTGTTTTGCACTGTCGTCTTTCAGGCGGGGATGATGGCAAGTGGCGCATCCCGTTTTCGTGGAAGACTGTGTACGGACCACCTCCAGATTTGTCCATGTTTTAGTCGTGTCGTGTGGTGGTAGACATGCAATGCTTTCATCAGGAAGGAAAAGCCAAGGAGAACATAGAAGACTTTTTTATGGATGCGGCATGGTTGGATTGTTCTCACAATCCCATGTTTTTGGATCCTGTCAAGATGCGACGGTCGTGTGGAGTTTATGAAGTAGAATCTGTACTCTGTTCTTGTACTACTTCTGTCAAAGCGTAATGTACCTCTTTCACGTCAATGACTAGTTGTTCAACGGTCCATACTTGTTCATGTTGGAGACAGAATGAACGCAAAAGACCAAGGACCAAATTTCACCTTTGGGCTTTGGGCGTGAGTTAATTCTTGATCAATACAATCTAGTCCCCCCAACTTCGAACTACACACTTTTACGTCAGTTTTTTTACAACTGATTTACATGGCTGTATATATTTTAATTGAACAGGTAGATAACAATATTTCATGAATTCATGAAGAACCTATTTCTCCTATGCAAAAGTTAAAAAAAAAAATTCCGTAAAATTTTAAGTTAAAACGAAGGTGGTAAAAAGTGGTAACAAAATGATAACGAGTGGTACAACATTGTTTTTCTAAACTATATAAAAATATAATTTTGTAGATCACATTAAACTAGTTTCATCTATTGATTTGTTTTAATTTGGGTTAAAACAAAATAAATAGTAAAAAGTAAAAAAAAAACTTTTAATCTTACCCCTTGCATCTCCCCCCACTCAAAACCAAAGGGATCATCTATGGTTATAGACAAATGCATAATTAAGCATTATACGCCTACCTGCCTTTGTTTGAGTATAATGAAGACAAAATACACCTCAATAATCATAACTTGAGACTGTGACATTAATAGTAAACTTTTGAAAAATCACAAATATAGCCATTTGGTCAATAACTTTAACGACACTAGTGTCAGAGATGCTTGGAATTCTACCATTTTCTGGTGATGTTGCCACTGTTGGTCTTAACTTTGCTAGGTTGGAATTGTTGGTATTTTTCTTATAATTAACTAAAAAAACTAAAATAATTTGAAAAATGAGCAACTAGTTGAAATTCTACTTTCCTCATCAAGATTATCAAACCGGTTTATAATGTTATGCTAGTTTAGCAAGTGGTATGGTCCGATTGGGGTACAACTAGTTTATATGTCGGTTCTAACATATTTGACAAAACATACGAGCAAGCGAAAAAACCATTAACACCAAATGAGTTGTGGATTTATATAACCTATCTGATGATATCTACATGTATTCTCCATTTATATTAAAGAATATACTACGTTACAAACAAAACAAGATATTATCATGCTTTTATTGGTATTGACTACCGCGGGTGGCTATACAGTACGGTCCGGTTAAATTGACTCAAATTGATCCGGTACTGATTCGGTATTTCCGATAATATAACGACCAAAGATTGGATTGGATACAGTCCGGTCTTGATTCGGTCTGGTCTTGACACGGTTCGGTCCCAATTCGGTGTCTTGATTTTAGATTGAACTTGTGGAGATTTGAGTGGTCTGAGGCCTCAAAGGGTGAGGAGTTGGTTAAATTTTGGGTGTTGGGCTCTCTTATCCGGTTTTTGGTCCGGTCCCAAATGGCTTTTTACCTAAAATCTAAGCCCGGAGATGGGATTGGATTGTTTGCTATCCAGTCTCGGTTCGGGTTATACGGTCCGGTTTCGGGTAAAACCAAAAAATCTGTACCAAATAGTCACCCCTAACTACCGCTCCATTTACCAGTGATCTTCTAACTGGTGTTTGTCTAATATCGATTGAACGCGGTTGTACCAAACAACATTCCAGTAGTTTAAGAGCCATGCTCTTCATCCTTCCTCTTCTCCCTTTTCATCGTCAAGAAGTTGAATCCACCTCAAATAATGAACTTCGCTTTCCCCACCTCCTAGTTAAGGAAAGAGTACATTATTCTTCTAATACACTTTGTATATTGTCTCATTAAAAAAATTTAGCAGGAAAATCCACTGGAAAAAAATAGCGGTTAAGGGAAAAAAGTGCATTGCATATAGTCTCCCCCTGATGAAGAGATTTATCAATATTTTTCAAGTCTTCAAGCTTTACTAAATTTTCACACGATGTTGTCGAATGTACGGTAATAGGCAAATCTGCTAAATAGTTTTTTTAATAAATTTTATTGGTTTCACAATTCTCACAATGTCGATGAGTGAAAAGAATTTAGAATTTCATTAAAATATTCTCGTATGTAACCCTTTTGGAGATACATGTAACCTCATTTTTGTATTTGATCATCTGGATTAAAAAATGAAAATAGACCAAATCATTGATAATTCATATTATCAATACATCATTATTCTGATAGTGATCTTAATCATCAATATTTTCTTATCATTTGGGTATCTTTATATACTTTGATACACATGAATTTCTCTTGAAAATATTTGAATTTAAATCCAAGGCAAAGCCTTGTTCTTTCAAGTTTTTATTTTATTTTATTTACTTTTAAATACTCTTTTAAAGTTTCAGTCGTATTAATGTCTTTCAATTACTTACTAGCACAGGGTCCGGCCTGTTGGCCGAAATAATTTTGTCGAGAAATATGATATATAATAATGGATATATAATAGATGATTTGAAATGCATAAAATGATTGTTTTCTAGCCTAGTTATGCACATAACATATTTGAAAGTGATCCAACTATTCATAATGTGTTTAGACCTCCATGAAAAGAGAAAAAAATATAATATAAGTATTGTTTGAAAATGTGCCTTAAAACTCTTGTTACCACGTAAAAGAATTGTTTGAACCAAATGATTGTAATAGTATCAAAAAAATTGGTAGTAGAGTATTTTATACTGAAATCATAAGTTAACTGTGGTTCAACCGTTTTATATTGCTAAATATCACGTATCGATTTAGCCTATGGTGCAAGTTTTATGGTCGAACCGCCAGTACGTACGATCTTTCAATTCAAACTTCAAATAAAAAACCACTAAAATATTGAAATTATCAAATACCTTTAAATATCAGAAATTACCATAATCGTATTAAGAAAAAAAATCACCCAAATGATTATATTGATTTAGAATTTTAAGGGGTCGTTTGAAAGTTGCGATTGTTAAATAGATGTTTTGTTGTGCATGCATGTATAATATTATATATGTATTGTCTTATTAGATAGATGCATTGTGTATATAACAAAAGCTAAAAGCTGAGACAAAACAATGTGAACTCAACTAGCTCAACAATCACAACTAAAAGTTGAGACAAAACAATCTCAACTCAACTATCTCAACAATCACAACTAAAAGTTGAGATAAAACAATCTCAACTCAACTATCTCAACAATCACAACTAAAAGTTGAGATATAACAATCACTCATTTTGAATGATAGTTTCTGTCACATCACAAATGTAATCCATATATTGTTTCTACTAAAAAAAATGATGCATTCTAAACAATACATTATAGTAACAATATCAACAAAACAATCGCAACTTTCAAACGACCCCTGAATTGAAATGGAAAAAAATCTATCAAATATAATGTCATCTTCTAAAATAAATCAAAACTCAACAGGGCTAAGAATACCCACTAAGCAAAGCAGAAGGACAATTATTTCACACTACCTCATTCCCCCTTCCCCCTTTTTAAATGTGTCCTCTCACTCTCTCTTATGTCTCGTTCACTTGCCATTTTGTTTTCTGTTTTCTGCTATGACAATAAAAATTAAAAACAAATGGTAAGAAACGTGTTCACTTGCAATTTCATTATCGTTGGAAAAACCATGGGGAATAAACGAGGCAGCTGGGCAGAAACAATAAAAGATCGTTTGCTAGAAAATAAGGGACGGATTTTCCTAGCTTCCCAACGGGTTACGTCCCCATTCCATTTAATGAGCCCAACGTTCGAATCCCTCGGCCACTTTTCCCCCCTTTTGTTCACTTAGACCAACGGTGTCGTTTTGCTAACCCCAACTCCCATCGTTCTTCTCCCATCCTCCCCGAAACTCGACCTCCCCATCGAACAAAGCTGCGACAATCCGCCTCTTCTTCCTCTAGCGGAGGGAGAGAAGATCGATCTGGTGAGCTTCTATCCAATCGGCAAAGCTCAGCCGACGAGCTCCTTCTCCAGTCGGCGAATGATGGGTTTGCTTTGAGATGCCAGCAGGTATTACCCACCGCTAAGTTAGGCATTATGAAGGATCTAGATCCTCGAGGTCATATCAACAGAGGTGTGAATTAGGCTGGATGAGATGTTGATGACTACACTTGCCCAGCAGGTCCTCGATAATCCTCTTTGTTTTTCCGTTTCTTCTTCCATCTCTCTCTCTCTCTCTCTCTCTCTGAGCTTTTTATCTTACCACTCTCCCCCTTTCCCTTCCTCTTTCTTCCCAATGCCTGGAATCGAGAGAAACCTAGAAACGTCCCAATTATTTCTCCAACTTTGCTTTCGAAATGCTTCTTCTCCATTCATAGTCGATAGTGTGAATCAAATGTCCTGAAACCTGGCGAACCGATGACCGCTTATTCCTCTCAAATGACGCATTTCTCCATAAAACATGAGTTCACCAATATAGACTGTGTGGTATTCGAAATTGTGTGCGAGCTCTTGAAGTTTAAGTCTGGTACGACCCATGAAGCATTCATGCTTATATAGGGCCGATCCATATGCATTGTCTTCATGGTATGTTCTAATTGTGTCATGTTAGCTCGACCATGTGTCTGGGTATAGTTACATGCATTATAATAATTAAGTTTTTACCTATTCGCAACTCCAAGATAAAAAACAATCATAAATGCACCCAGTATTTGATTTTGACTACCTGATAAAATACTACATTTGAACCAACTAACACTGATGCCACAAATAATAAGTATATCTCTAAATCATACATAAAATATTTCAAACATCACAAATATTAAGATTAAATTAATTATTATAGGTTAATTATAACTCATTTATATGTTAATGCCCTTAAATTGGTCAACACATCCAAAAATGGCTAAATGAACATCACATTAAAACCAATATTGTATCATTATTGTTGAGTCCATTCATACCAGATTAGCAAGAGGTTTAACGTTTAGGAATTAACCAAGTTAACATTTTAGAGAACCAGTCACCTATATTTTGTACAAAATATTATTGTTTCGTAGTAGTTCTGAAAATTTATATTAATTAAAAATTCTATATCTCTTGCATATTCAATAATGCAATTCGATATGCAATATTTCAAGCATTGAAATTTGTGTTGCAATTTTAAGATTACCAGTCATTTTATAGGTTATAAAAAATTTTATAAATCACGTATTGATCTTTGCTTTTCAGAAGACTTAATAGGCTAGATAACCGTGATGGAAAATTCCTCTGCTTTTTCAAATCTTCGCTAAGTGTA